CTTCCTCCTGAGCTTTGGGGGTGGTTTATGTGCTGTTTGTTCTCTGCTGGCTGCCTCGGGGTGGTACAGTCGCTGGCTCTGTACTCTGAATTAGCTGCTATGGTTGCTTAGTGCCTGGGACAAGGCTTCCACTGCCCATCTGCGTGCGTATCAATACGTAAAGACAAAAAGTACGGGTCCAGTGTATCTTCTAGTGCAAACCCCAGGAAAATGATGGCCAAAACAAACTGCTAGACTGCCCGCGTGCTGTCTGCACAGATGTTCCCAGCCCAGCGGTGTGCCGAGAGCCTTACCATAAGGGTTCATGTGGTCTCCCGGCATCTGTGGAGGGGTGAGACCTTGCTGGAAGGGGTCTGTGCCATAACTGCTTTGATCCATCGCTACAATCTGCTGCTGCGGCGGTGCCAGCGGCGTGTACGATGTCATCATCCCTTCCATCCGGTTGGACATCACTTCTGCAAAACAGACAGCAGAGTCCAGGGCTGCTCAGCAAGAGGGAGGTTGCAGGGGCTGGGAGTGGGACTGGGAGTGCTGCCCTCCCCATTGCCCACACTGTGCTACACAGGAGGAGATGAGTCGTGAGGTGCAGTTGCTAGAAATAGCCTAGGGGATCCCTCCTCACCCCGCCATCCCCCGGATAACCCAAGCCACCAGCACCCAGTGGTGTCAGTGCCAAAGCCAGGAGGATCCCATCCGGGTCCTGAGAGAAAACCATCAGTTAAGGATGAGGCATCCAGCTGGGATAACAAGCACAGTATTCTGATGCCATCTGCCTCCACGGTCCCTTCACCTGCTCAGCCTCTTTTCCTCCTAGCGGCAGAGTCAGCCCCGGCCGGGGCACAAACAGTGCCGACCTGCTTCTCATGAACTGTGAGGGCCCGGGGCAGAGCCCACCCCCAAAGCCCAGAAGCCAGCTCTGCCTGGACACCCTGCCAGCGGGAGGCTCGTGTTGGGAGCCGGGCTGTGCTAGGATGTTGGCCACACCGCTGCTCCCCCACTACTGCATACTGCCCTGGACGTCCACTCCTCTCGCTGCCAGGATTTGCCCGCCTCGTGTCTGCAGGGCACGTGGCCACTTCACCTTCTCACGGAGGCGCCAGACCGTGTTTTGGGTTCCCAGAGTAGCTCCTAGTCCTGATTGCGGCTGCTGAAAACCAGCCTCGAATGACTGGGCCACAGGAAACCAGGGGCCAGGTGCAAGCAGGAGCTCATCTGTTTTCGCCCTTCTGCTGCCTCAGTGCTACCACAGGACCTCTCAGTCCCCAGCAAGAGGCATGAAGGAGCACTGACCCCATCTCCTTTGGCCAGGGTTGCTTTCTGAACCCAGGCCCAGAGCCGGCACCCACAGGTTCTGGACCAGCCGTGTCAGCCCTCCAGCACTGGCCACATCATCCTCTCAGACAGACTGAGCTCCCTGGGGCAGGGACTGCATCTTTCTAAATGCCTGTCCAGCACCTAGCACACTGGCTCTGGGTGTGGCCTGGAGCCACCATGGCAAGGCAGTACCAGTACGGAGAACGCCCTCGACAGCCATGGGAATAGCCCCAGGGTCTCTGCCGCTGTGCCCCGTGGGCAGTTCATTCACCTGTGAGATGTGTGCGCAGGGAAACTGCTGCCGCTGCCTACGGCCACTGGTGCTACACAGCGGCAGCACCAAGCCCCGCTCGCAGATCCTAGGCCAGGCCCATGGTCCTTGGCCAGCTTCTCTTCCGGTCTGAGGGAGGGAATGAAGTTGGGTCTGGCTCGGCGGTAACGCAGGGGAGACCCAGCTGCATCCCTTCTCCAGCCCCGCAAAGCATCCCCAGGGCAGTTGGCCAGTCCTAGGCTGTGTCTGCATCTCTGCGTGGTCCTGGAAGCCCTGAGCGTGACCTGGCTGCTGCAGAAGTGCAGGCCGCCCTATCCCTGTCTGAGTGCAGAGAAGCAAGCCTGGAGGAGGAGATTGCTGCAGGCAGTCTTGATGGCTGGTACCTGTAGGTCTGGCCTTGGGACCTGGTGCCATGGCAGAACACAAACATGGCCCCAGAGCTGTGTAAACACAGAGCCACGCGCATGCTGTGCTCTGTACATAAACATATAAAGGCGCAGGTGGGCACAGGGAGAGTACACACGTGTGTGTGCTCCCATCCATTGCACAGAGACCCTGGAAACTACCCCACTGCCCTGTGCTCCTCTCCTTGCGTCCATCACAACCGTGGCTTTACCTTGGCCCAGGCGCTGCGAGTTCTGCTGCTCCTGCTGCTGCTGATGCCTTCGTGCTAGTTTCTTCATCTGAATAAAATGGGAAACAGAATAACCTTGCGGGTCCAAAGGGAAGGATCTGGTTCCATTACAAACCTATATAGTCTGCGTGTTGTGCAAACACTCCTGGGGCCTCGGTGTTCATTCTTGGACATACATATTTGGTTTTCCTGGTCATATTTATGTGCACACCCTAGTCCTAACGTGGCCCTGCCCTGAGCCCCCCAACAGAGGGGCCTGTGCATGGCTGTGGGTCTTCCCGTGCATGTGTGACCTGTGCAGCACGTGCAGAGTGCACAGCACAAACCTCATGTAAAGCGGCATTCCTGCCTGGGGATCTTAGGGACGTGGCCCCTGCTGTGAGAGGAGAAGTCCGTGCAGAGTTTAACTGGTAGCTTACCTTTGCTCTTTGGTTCTGAAACCAGACCTGGACAACTCGCACGCTAAGTCCCGTTTCAGCTGCTAGTGTTTCTCTGACCTACAAGAGGAAATGTTTAAAGATTAGTTTCCGTACACCTATCGGGTAGGTTGTGTGGCAGCTCCTCTTCCTCTTGGGCGCGCTATGTGCTGCCCAGAGCTCTGACTGTAAACGATCAGCTCACTTTTGACCACATGAACATTTGCTTCTTTCAAGACTCTGCCTTGGACTTCAGTGGGCTTTCAGCCTGTGTGTAGTGTGGCCTTCATAGAGGATATGCTGGTTTGCTGTCCTCTAGTGATACGAAACCCAATGCCTTTATGTCCTTTATTTTTCTCTTTGAGAGGAAAATAGAGGACATAAAGATGTCGGGTTTTGTATCACTAGAGGACAGAGGACAACCAGATTGTCCTCTATGATGGCCACCCTACGTGTGGGTCTCTGCGGAGGAGCCTACCTTCCTACAGGGCTTGGAAGACACTTCAAAGGATGCTTTGAATGCTCTTCTCTGCTGTGTTGTAAGGATAGTTCTTGGTCGTTTGGGCCTCCTTGGGTCTTTCCCATCATCACTCCCTTTCCCTTGGTTCACTTGTCCTTTGGTTGGCTTGACATCTCCATCCTCGTCATCGCTTTTCACTGTGGAAAAATCAAAAGGAAGTGAAAGTCCTGCTTGTTTCGCTCAGGCGATGGGACTCTCAAAAGGCTAAACTAACATGTTACCAGGCCCCCTAAACAGCAAACTAAACACGGTTACCCTACATCGGTGTCAAATCCAACACTGTCCCAGTCGGCTGATAATCAGGTTAAATGGAGCCTGCACACAGTCTCTCTGCCACAGTCCAGGGAAGCACTTCGGCTTCTGTTCAGCGCTAACTGAGGGCTAACTACTCTCATCAGCTTGATGTTCATCACATACTTAAATGTTTTCAAGAGCAGGGCTTGTTCGATTATTCTACTGCACACATCACAATTTCCGAAATGGTGGTTATACCAGTGCCACAAAAGCAGGACATTTAAAATCCAGATCTTTTGATTAGACATACATTGTTTTAAATTATTTTTTTTAAACATTTCTGCAAGCCTGGTGGTAACTTAAAAGCATACTGCTTGTTTCTTCACTGCTGTGTATTATGGAAGACTACAGCAATCTTTCTCACTGTACTGCAGACATGCATGTGTGCATATGCATGTGTCTCCTGCTTATCCTAAGTGTGTCTAGCTGAAATATATGCAGCCACGAGTGTGTACACCTCTGTATGAAACTCTGTGGGAGCGTGCATATCTATCATGAATATATGATTTGTATTTTCTCTAGTTCGATGTGAATGGCCGTGTGATCTGATAATGCAGTGTGCATTAGTGGTTAGCGGTGGGAAATCCTGACTCGCTTGCCAGAGGTTTATGAGTAAGCATATATTTTGTCCTGGTTGAAATAACTTCTGTGTCCACATCAACATCTGTGGCCAAATGTTATGATTCATAGCAGTCAAAGGGGTCTCTTACATGCATTTCACTAAACCTTTGCTTTTCATGCAGAAAACTTTCGTATTCTGGGGGTCTTTAATGTTAAGAAACATACTGTACTTGTGATGTATCCAAAGGTTACATTTAGGGAATTAACAGATTAGACTTCAAATTCATTTTAGATCTGATTATTTTGCACCTAGCAATCTAATTGCCTTTCAGTTCCATAAGCATCTTTTGCATAATGATTAAAGAGAAGTTCCATCATTTTAATAACCTTGACATTATTAACTTTCCAGCCTGCCATTTCTACAGAAAGGTTTAGTGAAGGTTAATATTGCTCATTGGAGACTTGCTTTTGTGGCCAGTGGATAAATATTTGATTGGAGAAGGACATGCTCTCAGCCTGAGCAGTGTGCAATTGTTTGCACTCACGTAAGTAGTGGGGAGCTTCGGGCTTTTGCAGGATTAAACAGTAGAAGGAAAATGAGTCCTCTTTAATGTGGTTTCTTGTTCCACAGGTTTGGCTTCAGCTCGGGAAAGGGTTGTTTGTCCATAAAAAGAAGCACTTCTCACCTCTTGGATGCATGACTGTGTGTGTCCTGGGGAGGGGAGCCAAGAGCAAACGCAGCCGGCTTCCTCTGCAGCAGGCTGGGCCTCGCCCAGGCACTCGTGACACTCAAGGTGGCCCTGGCAGTAGGACTGTGCATCCGTGTCCAAAAGAAGAACTGGACCCCAGCCAGCAACGACTGCCCATGTACTGCTGTGACGTTAACAGTTAGCAGAGGAGGGGAAGGCAGGACCCCATCCTCCCTGCTACTACAGAGCCAAACACGGTGAGGCAGGAGCAGGCAGGAGTTTTCAAGGGCAGTTTGTCCAAATAAAGACAAGGAGACGGGCCCAAGTTTTGGTAAAGAGAGAATCGGATGCTGAAAAGCCAAGAGGGAACTGGCAGACCCGGGTAGATCCCAGTGCCCGGGTTTGCTCGGGCACAGAGCGTGCAGGCCCGGGCTTCTGGAGTTATGGGCTTGTGCGCCTACAGATCGGGCCTGGCTGTGGTAGACACTGGCCCATGAGCGGCTCAACACCCACGCATCCCGCGACACGGCAGCAACCATCGCCTCACCACAGTCCTGCCAGGGCCTAGACAGGTCAGCAAGCTTGGCTCTCAACATGTCCGAGGAACACCAGGAGTACCAGGCTTTCCCAGGGACCCGAGGAAAAAGCCCCGGTCACCTGTGCATTCGATGGACTGGTGATCACTGTTGCTTCCCTGAGATTCACCCTGGGGGGGTTGAACCTCATGCATTCGGCTCTAATTCAGTCAAAGCAGGACTGTCTGTGACACACACAGCCATTCCCTGGGCACGGGCAGGCACTTGGCACCCTTTAAAAATATTCTATCCCTCACTCCTCTGCACACATTTTTCTGCCACTCTGGTTTGTCTCCTACTGCTCGAATCCAGACAGCAAGCATCCTTTCTGGAAGTACGGACATGGGAGCGCTTCAGGGTGCAGGAAGAGACAACAGCCAAGTGGCATGTGGAGAGAGCCCTCCTCAGCAAAGCGGGGTTTCCTTTTGTACCCGTCCCCATGCGGAGGCCTCGCCTGCCGGGACGGGCCAGGGCTGTCTGCATGTCGGAGTGAGTGGTGAGGGCGGCCCTGCCGGGGCACAGCCCCTCTGCTGCGGTGCACACCGCGGTTCCTGCTACGCCAGGCTCAGTGTTCAGGTCCTCCAGGTCCTGGACGTGTCTCCACTGGGTCTGTGACTTTTCTTAGCACAACAGGGTGTGATCGGCAGAGACAAACTTATCCTGGAGAGCTCCAGGAATTGGGCCATGGCTGTGAGGTGCAAGTGTGCGCACGTGCAACCTGTGCTCCATCATCAGGTAGGAACTGTGGGCCCCTGTGACAACTCCAATCTGTTACTGAAATGGATGGAAACAGCAGGCTTTGGATCAGGCCTCCGCCATCGAAACCAGACAGATCTACCCGCCCTGCTTTTCTAGGACAGTATCACTTGTCTGGATCTTGGCAGCTTGTAAATTATTCCTGCCCTCTGCTCAGGTGGTAGGACAGTGAGCAATGGCCTGAAATTAAAGGAGGGAAGATCCAGGTTAGATACTTGGGAGTGGCTCTCACTCGGCAGTGCGCCGATCCCCGTGGATACAAGGATGGAGGCACCATCGCTACAAAGGCTGACTGAGCAGCGAGCAGCTCTGCAGAATCAGACGAGGATGCTTGGCCTTGGTGGCCTGTTGAATTGGAAGAGGTGCAGGAAGAGCTCACCTGAGTCGGAGTCGTCTGGGCTGACGGAGCTCAGCAGGTCTTTTTCTTTTTCATAGTCACTTTTGCAGAGCAATTGTCCTTCCTTCAGAACAAACTCGTCCCCTTTCCTCAGCTGCCGCTCACAAACACAGCAGCAGAAGCAGCTTAAGTGGTAGACACACTCCAAGGCCCTCATCACAAACTCCGTCGGGGCAATCTTCTCCATGCAGCCACTGCACTTAGCAGCAAACAGCCTGCGAGAATGAAAGGCAACAAGGGAAACGTCAGAACGTGCATCCATGTACTGACACGCCGGAAATGGGCCATCTGACTTAGCCACAAATCAGTTTGCAAAGTGACTTAGCGCATTGGCAACTGCATTTTCTGGACACCCGCAGTATCAGTGGCACCGTTTGAATTCTGCACCCCTTTGGCTTAGAAAGTCCCTAAGATCTGGACCCCTCATAAGATTTCCACTACATGTTTGCTTTAGTGAGGCTGGAGGTACCTCTGTTTTAGTGTGTTATTGCTTCTCTGTTGGGAGAGAAAAATCAAAAAGGCTACAGGCACAAGAAATAAAATGGAACAATGTTATCCATGCCCTGAAAGCTCAAGCCAGAGCCAGTTTGGTTCAGCTCCTGGATGAGTCAAGCCTTATTATGCTGCTGATGATTTGTGACTGAGAACCTGCTCTAAATGGATCCTCTGAGAGCCCCTTGCTGGTGTGAGGGCAGTACTTGAGCACTGACACAAGAGTATTTGCTCGTGGGGGAAGAGAATTAGCTAAGAGACGGCCAGAGCAGCCCGTCAGAGCAGGGGCTGGCCCTTTTGCAGGGATGTGAAACAGCCCAGGTAGGTCGCAGTGTTTGGCTCGGGCCACACCATCACACCTCCTGCGCTCCACACCAGTCCTGTTCCACCCTCCAAGCTCCCCACCCTCCGACTTAGCTTCGCTTTCGTGGTGACTGGGACATTCCTGACGTAGCCTGCAGGAAAGGTGCTGTTCCCAGTCAGGTGAACGGCTGGTTCGTGTCCTGGGTCACGCAGCACACTCAGTGCTTCTACAATTCAGCCTTTTTCTGTGACAGTGCTCTGATGCATAAGGTGAAGTCACAGGTTTTTCCCCAAGGCAGCGAGCAGTATGTATGTCGTGACAAGCTCAGCCTTTGCAAGCTCCCACCTCCTGGGGACAAGGCACAAGGGACCTGTTTCAGAGGGGTGGCCTAGGCTGACTCCTGGGCCGGCCCTGAGGGGCTTCTATTTTGTTTCAGCTGAGAAACTACAGCAAAATGGCAGCCACTCATTTTGGAGGGAGGGAGCAGGTCTGACACGAGATGGGAAAGAGATGCCTGGGTTTGTACATGCCAACAAGCTCCTCTCGAGGTGTGCAAGGGGGCAAGGCACCAGTGCCCTTGGAGCCCTGGGCCCCCTCGAGCAAATGCCATCATTTCACATCCCACCGTGCCAGGACTTCCCTGAAGCTGCTTTCGCTGCTAGGTGTGAATGGGGAGAAAACCTGCCGCTGCGTTTGGTTGCTAAACTTGACTAAACTATAAAAAGGCTTTAGCCGGTAAATCCCTAAACATCAAATAGCTGGCGCACATGCGTAATGAAGGAGCTAAAAGGATTAAACAACTTTAAAAAAAAAAAGGCAAACATTTCTAACTGCTTAAAAAAGTTGTTTCTATTTAACTGCTTAAACCTATTTGCCTCCATTTAATTAAGCTTGCACCTTTTGTCTAAGGAGGGTGTTTTATGATGGAGCATGCTTGAAGAGTCGGCAGATTAGCAAATCTGGTGTGAAGGCCTCCGACTCCTCTGACTGGCATCAGTTCATTTATGCTGTGGTGACAGTGAACCTGTGCACGCTTCAGTAAAACTCAATGGGTGGCTACAAGGAGGGATGGGACAAACTCAACGTGGGGTAGCAGCTTCTGAACGGGGCAAGGCTGCTGATGCCCTTTCAGCTGCTGCAGCTTCCAGGTTTCTTCCGTGGCTTTCTTTGCTGTTCAAATAAATGCTATTGTTTAGCATGACCTTAGCAGCCATAATCCTAAAACCATGCGGGGCGGGGTCTTTTAGAAAGGCACCGTGAGAGTGTTGCAGTCATGATGATACAGAGTGAATCCAGTGTTATTGCCTCTACTGTTAACGAACTGAATGCTGAATACTGAAACTCTCCCGAGAAAGGGTTACATAGCAGGGACATGTCCTGCAAGACCCGTGACCGCAGGCCAGAGCCACGCTGCCCAGATGCTCCTTTGGAGATAGTGATGTTTTTCCCGGTCTGGCAGCCAAAGCTGAACCAAGTCTCCCCAGGCTACAGAACCACTGCAGCAGCCCCCAGCGTATGGGGCAAGTGAGAGCGCAGCTGGGCTCAGGGCACCCGGTGTGCACAGGCGAGAGGAGGGCACCACCTGTGCCAGAGGCAGGGGGACTAAGCCCTGCAGACAGCATTGGAAGCAGGGCTGGAGCCAGGGGCATGTGAGCTGGGTTCATCAAAGGGATAGTCTTTGGCCCTCTCTATTCCAGGCAACCAAGATTGGTGCCTGGTTGGCAAACAACCAGGTCACATGAGATAATATCCCACATTGGTGTCCCTAAGTTCTCTCCCAAAGAAAAGCTGACCCCCTAGAGAGCTGTGCCATCCGCTGTCTCCCAGGGAGAGCGACAGCAATGTCGTACGTTGATGGAGAAGCCTCTATGCCTTGCAATGCCCCTCCCAGCTGACCGCACCAGGAGTGCTGGCGACTACAGCAAATAAGCACATGTATAAAGTAACCTACCTCCTGTCTACAGACACACAGGAAACCAATCCAGTCCCCTCCTGCCTCTGCACCATGTCTCCATGCTTCGTGAAGTGTGGCTTTCCATTCAGGATGGAAGGTGCTTTATCATGTAACTTTAAAATATTATTTAGTGGTGGAGAGTACTTGTAGCACAGCATTATCATTATCGTAGGTGGTCTCTGAGTTGTAACGAGTTACATCAATATAATACTAACTTGTGCAGTTTACCAATTATGGCTAAAGATTTATATTTCTGCTTGACGTTACTCTGTGAACTTCTTGCCTTCCTTTGGGTTTATCCTTAGGCAACATAGTAAAATGCCTTAATCCACAGTCAGATATTTGCAACATGTGATATGTATAGAGTAATATACACACACAATCCAGAGTGAATTGGATTTAATTCTAGGATTATGAAAACTTCATTAAATCTATCTTATAGAGTGTTTATAGGTTTTTCAGCTCCCAGAAAGTAACCCAGGGTTGTGTACTTTTTTGCACAAGGCAGTCTCACAACAGGAAACTAATCTTGACAAATGACCAGACTTTGATATCTGTGATCTAAAACACTGCTCATTAGACTGCTCATTTTATAAACAAATGGTAATAAACCTGTTGAGAAGTCTGAGGATAGCAGAAATACTTTACAGGTCACCCCAATGTAGGTTTCAATCAAAGCAATAAATTTAAGGGTAGATATGTGGATGTTCTGAGCTAAGCTACTCTAACCACATTTGGAGAAACGTTTCTTTTGCCTTCTATAAATTTCACAAATAATTTGCATAACTCTGACTTTTTACCCCATTGCTGATTATCTCCAGCTCTCCCAAGTTAACGTCAAACCTCAAAATCCTTGGACTCGTTAAAGTATGCACAGTGGAAATCAAATGCCTTTATTAGAAGCCCCGGGAAATCTCTGACTCCTAAGCACAACGAAAACATTCCAAAGAAAATTGTTCAAAGAGGACAAAGGAGAAAAGCAGAACAAGAAAACCTTGTTTTGAATCAATGATTGCAAGAGTTTTATAAATAAATTCTGTTGCCTGGACAATTCTGAAAGACAACTCAATAGTTTTTTTTTTTTTTTTAAGTGTGTTTGCATCTATGCCTGAAACACTTAGGGGATTTAGCTGAGCTAAAGCTTGGAACAATAGGCTGTTTTGTTCATTTGAGTATTTGTAATAATCACTGTGAAACAACTTTACAGTATTAGAAAGCAAAACACACACTGCATTTTAAAAATGGTCAAACTTACTAAATTAATGTTGCATACATTTTAGGGGCAACAAGATCTCTGAGACATGTGGCCCTGTCTTTAAACAGTAGATGAAAATGCTCACCAGCGGAAGTAGCCATAAAGGTTTTATTTGTTAGGATATTCCTGTGCAGTGAGGCTGATTCGGTAATCCTTACAAACACAGCCACAGTTATATGATCCATGCGCCTTCCTGCATAGGGCTGAACCATCTGGTGTTTAATATGTACAACTGATTTATTATCTCTAGCGGAGTTATCTTGCTTTAAATGTGACCCTGCTCTGCTCCTGAGAATCACTGTTCTGCTGTTTACTCTTATAATGTCCTAACAACCTGCCCTCTACCTTTCTGATGCTTCACCCTGGGCCCTTCATTTCCTTCTGTTTGTGGGTAAATAGATTTTAATTGTTTTATTATAACTAATTTATTATAAGCTGAGAGATCTCGATGTGCAGTGTAAAATTTGCTGTTCATATTAAGTGTGGTTCAAGAGGTTTGTTAAACAGGACAGAGTTATAAAAATAGATTAAATCAGTCTGTTCGCATATTTACTGGACCTTTGCAGTGAAGCAATAAATAGGCAGCTATTAAGCTATGTTTGATGTATGCTAAATGACAGATGCTGCTGTCTAACTATTGGAGACCTTAAATCATTTTCCTTTCTCTGTAATTCTGATGTGGCTTTTTGGAAAAAATTGTGGCAGACACCTAGTTTTGTTTAGGTCATAAATACAAAGCTGGTGATCGCTGGCTTTGGAAAATATTGTATGGTCTTTAACTCCCCCCGGATCATGGCTTTGATATGTCATCGCCAGCATGGCTGTACCTCCACGTCAGCCAAGAACTCACTTGGTATTCATATCATTCAGTACAAAATGTGTCCAAACTGCAGGCAGATGTATTAAGCTTTCTACACAACTGAATTTTAGTAAGAGAAAAATTAAATGACTAATGAATGCCATCTATTACCCTTCAGGAGAATTTTTAGATGGAACTGTTTTTTTCCCCCTATGACAGAATGGGGAGATGCCATCTATATATAAAGCAAAGGAGTCTTGAATTTTTTTTGTGTCTTAGAGATTACGAATGCATAAAAAAAAAGGAAAGCATTGCTTAGTCATAATAAATCCTAAACATTTGAAACATCCCAGATGTGCAAAAGGAAGACTGAAACGCTTTGATTTATGAAAGAACACAATTATTTTTGAG